TATATGTATATAGGTTAGATAATTGTATATTATACATATGTATTTGTATATTCTGGCGAATTATACATATACAAACATGACTAATTATACAAACTCGAAGTCAGCCCGCGTAATTAATGTATAATGTTAGTCGTGAGCGGTAATTATAGCAAACTATAGGTATGATGAGTAATTAAGTAGTATAAGTTTGCTTAATCGTGTAATTTTCCCCATTAATTATATACTTATTATATTGGCTCTAAAGATAAGAGGATAAGGAAACAAAGGAAGAAGCTTTAACGAGATAGAAAATTATATTACTCCGTTTTGTTCATTACTTAACAAATGCAACAGTATCTTGTACCAAATCCTTTCTCTCTTTTCAAACTTTTCTATTTGGCTGTTGACAGAGTAATCAGGATACAAACCACAAGTATTTAATTGACTCATCCACCAGATATTATGATTTATGAATCCTCGAAAAGCCTATCCATTAAGTCCTCATCTATGGATATACTTGACAGTTTCTTCCTATTTGGGTATTTTTTTCCTGCCAAGTGGAACGGAGACATGTTATGTTGTATACGGGAAGCTCGTTAAAAAAAAAATACAATAGGAAGAAATGTAACAAACATTGAATGTTGTTTTTAACCATCCTTCCTTTTAGCAGTGTACCAATTTTGTAATAGAACCATGCATCTCAATCTTAATACTAAAAAATGCAACAAAATTCTAGTGGAGGGACCAGTACCAGTACATTAGATATTATTTTTTATTACTATAATAATAATTTAACTAACACGAGACATAGGAATGTCAAGTGGTAGCGGTAGGAGGGAGTTGGTTTAGTTTTTTAGATACTAGGAGACAGAACCGGAGGGGCCCATTGCAAGGCCCAAGTTGAAGTCCAGCCGTGAATCAACAAAGAGAGGGCCCATAATACTGTTGATGAGCATTTCCCTATAATACAGTGTCCACAGTTGCCTTCCGCTAAGGGATAGCCACCCGCTATTCTCTTGACACGTGTCACTGAAACCTGCTACAAATAAGGCAGGCACCTCCTCATTCTCACACTCACTCACTCACTCACTCACTCACACAGCTCAACAAGTGGTAACTTTTACTCATCTCCTCCAATTATTTCTGATTTCATGCATGTTTCCCTACATTCTATTATGAATCGTGTTATGGTGTATAAACGTTGTTTCATATCTCATCTCATCTATTCTGATTTTGATTCTCTTGCCTACTGTAATCGGTGATAAATGTGAATGCTTCCTCTTCTTCTTCTTCTTCTCAGAAATCAATTTCTGTTTTGTTTTTGTTCATCTGTAGCTTGGTAGATTCCCCTTTTTGTAGACCACACATCACATGGCAAGCATCACAGCTTCACACCACTTTGTGTCAAGAAGCCAAACTTCACTAGACACCAAATCAACCTTGTCACAGATAGGACTCAGGAACCATACTCTGACTCACAATGGTTTAAGGGCTGTTAACAAGCTTGATGGGCTCCAATCAAGAACTAATACTAAGGTAACACCCAAGATGGCATCCAGAACTGAGACCAAGAGACCTGGATGCTCAGCTACCATTGTTTGTGGAAAGGGAATGAACTTGATCTTTGTGGGTACTGAGGTTGGTCCTTGGAGCAAAACTGGTGGACTAGGTGATGTTCTTGGTGGACTACCACCAGCCCTTGCAGTAAGTCTTTCATTTGGTTACCTACTCATTCATTACTTATTTTGTTTAGTTAGTTTCTACTGCATCAGTCTTTTTATCATTTAGGCCCGCGGACATCGGGTAATGACAATATCCCCCCGTTATGACCAATACAAAGATGCTTGGGATACTAGCGTAGCGGTTGAGGTACATCTTCCTATATTGATACGGTACAATATTGTTCCCTTACATTTCCTGATTCAAGAATGTGATCCGCTACTTTATCTGCAGGTCAAAGTTGGAGACAGCATTGAAATTGTTCGTTTCTTTCACTGCTATAAACGTGGGGTTGATCGTGTTTTTGTTGACCACCCAATGTTCTTGGAGAAAGTAAGTAAGCATATTATGATTATGAATCCGTCCTGAGGGATACGCAGAACAGGTCATTTTGAATATCTTTTAACTCTTACTGGTGCTTTTACTCTTTTAAGGTTTGGGGCAAAACTGGTTCAAAAATCTATGGCCCCAAAGCTGGACTAGATTATCTGGACAATGAACTTAGGTTCAGCTTGTTGTGTCAAGTAAGTTAGTTACTTGTTATACTGTTGTCTTGATTTTTATGTGGCATTTGTCTTTAATCGTTTTTTTAACCTTGTTTTCTCAGGCAGCCCTAGAGGCACCTAAAGTTTTGAATTTGAACAGTAGCAACTACTTCTCAGGACCATATGGTAATTAACACATCCTAGTTTCAGAAAACTCCTTAGTATATCATTGTAGGTAATCATCTTTATTTTGCCTATTCCTGCAGGAGAGGATGTTCTCTTCATTGCCAATGATTGGCACACAGCTCTCATTCCTTGCTACTTGAAGTCAATGTACCAGTCCAGAGGAATCTATTTGAATGCCAAGGTAAAATTTCTTTGTATTCACTTGATTGCACTTTACCCTGCAAATCAGTAAGGTTGTATTAATATATGATAAATTTCACATTGCCTCCAGGTCGCTTTCTGCATCCATAACATTGCCTACCAAGGCCGATTTTCTTTCTCTGACTTCCCTCTTCTCAATCTTCCTGATGAATTCAGGGGTTCTTTTGATTTCATTGATGGGTATGCATTTAATGCTTGAAATCAGACCACCAACTTTTGAAGCTCTTTTGATGCTAGTAAATTGAGTTTTTAAAATTTTGCAGATATGAGAAGCCTGTTAAGGGTAGGAAAATCAACTGGATGAAGGCTGGGATATTAGAATCACATAGGGTGGTTACAGTGAGCCCATACTATGCCCAAGAACTTGTCTCTGCTGTTGACAAGGGTGTTGAATTGGACAGTGTCCTTCGTAAGACTTGCATAACTGGGATTGTGAATGGCATGGATACACAAGAGTGGAACCCAGCGACTGACAAATACACAGATGTCAAATACGATATAACCACTGTAAGATAAGATTTTTCCGACTCCAGTATATACTAAATTATTTTGTATGTTTATGAAATTAAAGAGTTCTTGCTAATCAAAATCTCTATACAGGTCATGGACGCAAAACCTTTACTAAAGGAGGCTCTTCAAGCAGCAGTTGGCTTGCCTGTTGACAAGAAGATCCCTTTGATTGGCTTCATCGGCAGACTTGAGGAGCAGAAAGGTTCAGATATTCTTGTTGCTGCAATTCACAAGTTCATCGGATTGGATGTTCAAATTGTAGTCCTTGTAAGTACCAAATGGACTCATGGTATCTCTCTTGTTGAGTTTACTTGTGCCGAAACTGAAATTGACCTGCTACTCATCCTATGCATCAGGGAACTGGCAAAAAGGAGTTTGAGCAGGAGATTGAACAGCTCGAAGTGTTGTACCCTAACAAAGCTAAAGGAGTGGCAAAATTCAATGTCCCTTTGGCTCACATGATCACTGCTGGTGCTGATTTTATGTTGGTTCCAAGCAGATTTGAACCTTGTGGTCTCATTCAGTTACATGCTATGCGATATGGAACAGTAAGAACCATAAGAGCTTGTACCTTTTTACTGAGTTTTAAAAAAAGAATCATAAGACCTTGTTTTCCGTCTAAAGTTTAATAGCCAACTAAATGTTACTGCAGCAAGCTTTTCATTTCTGAAAATTGGTTATCTAATTTTAACATAATCACATGTGAGTCAGGTGCCAATCTGTGCATCGACTGGTGGACTTGTTGACACTGTGAAAGAAGGCTATACTGGATTCCATATGGGAGCCTTCAATGTTGAAGTATGTGATTTTACATCAATTGTGTACTTGTACATGGTCCATTCTCGTCTTGATATACCCCTTGTTGCATAAACATTAACTTATTGCTTCTTGAATTTGGTTAGTGCGATGTTGTTGACCCAGCTGATGTGCTTAAGATAGTAACAACAGTTGCTAGAGCTCTTGCAGTCTATGGCACCCTCGCATTTGCTGAGATGATAAAAAATTGCATGTCAGAGGAACTCTCCTGGAAGGTAGGTGTCAAATTGATAATTTGCGTAGGTACTTCAGTTTGTTGTTCTCGTCAGTACTGATGGATGCCAACTGGTGTTCATGCAGGAACCTGCCAAGAAATGGGAGACATTGCTATTGGGCTTAGGAGCTTCTGGCAGTGAACCCGGTGTTGAAGGGGAAGAAATCGCTCCACTTGCCAAGGAAAATGTAGCCACTCCCTAAATGAGCTTTGGTTATCCTTGTTTCAACAATAAGATCATTAAGCAAACGTATTTACTAGCGAACTATGTAGAACCCTATTATGGGGTCTCAATCATCTACAAAATGATTGGTTTTTGCTGGGGAGCAGCAGCATATTAGGCTGTAAAATCCTGGTTAATGATTTTGTAGGTAAGGGCTATTTAAGGTTGTGTGGATCAAAGTCAATAGAAAATAGTTATTACTAACGTTTGCAACTAAATACTTAGTAATGTAGCATAAATAATACTAGTAGCTAATATATATGCGTGAATTTGTTGTACCTTTTCTTGCATAATTATTTGCAGTACATATATAATGAAAATTACCCAAGGAATCAATGTTTCTTGCTCCGTCCTCCTTTGATGATTTTTTACTCAATACAGAGCTAGTGTGTTAAGTTATAAATTTTGTTTAAAAGAAATCAATTTCAAATTAGTTGGTTGGTCATATGAAAGAAGCTGGCAGGCTAACTTTGAGGAGATGGCTATTGAATTTCAAAGTGATTATGTGAAAACAATGCAACATTTATGTTAATCAACACTTAAATTATTGCATTTAGAAAGATATTTTTGAGCCCACGACACATTCATTCATAAAGTAAGGTAGTATGTATGATTGAATGGACTACAGCTCAATCAAAGCATCTCCTTTACATAACGGCACCTGTCTCTTTGTCTACTACTCTATTGGTAGTAGTAGTAGTAGTAATTTTACAATCCAAATTGAATAGTAATAAGATGCTCTCTATTTACTAAAGTAGTAGTATTATTCTTTCGTTACTCTAAAGCAACAAATACTATTAAACTTAAAATGCTACTTTTAGGACTAAGTTTTCCCAGTAGCATTTTTTTTTATTTAATAAAGAGAAGATAAAAGCAGGCAAGCCGCTCCGTTACTTATAACACCACCACTCGGCACTCAGCTTACTTTTTTCTAGCTAGGCTGCTGGTTGCTTTTACTCTTTTCTTTCACCTTTAGCTCCTTCCTTCCTTACTTGTCATTTGATGATGGAACCCAATCCCAATCCCAATCCCATCTCCTCTTCTCTTCTCCTCTTTCTGCTGTTTTTTACTCCAACTATGGTGGCTCCTCTAGGTATCAACTACGGGCAAATTGCCAACAATCTTCCCTTACCGGAAAACGTGGTACCATTAGTCAAATCCATCGGAGCTACCAGAATCAAGCTCTATGATGCTGACCCACATGTCCTCAAAGCCTTTGCTAACACCGGCGTTGAGTTCATCGTCAGTCTTGGCAATGAGTACCTTTCCAAGATGAAAGATCCTTCTAAAGCTCAATCATGGGTTAAAAATAATGTCCAAGCTTACTTACCTGCTACTAAAATCACCTGCATCGCTGTCGGTAATGAAGTTCTCACCTTTAACGATACCATCCTCACCGACAACCTCCTCCCTGCAATGCAAAGTGTCCACACTGCTCTTGTTAATCTCAAATTGGACAAACAAGTCACTGTCACCACCGCACATTCTCTTGCTATTCTACAAACTTCCTATCCGCCATCTGCTGGAGCTTTCCGTCGGGATCTTGTCAACTGTGTTACCCAGATCGTGGACTTCCATTGCAAAACTGGCTCACCTTTTCTGATTAATGCTTATCCTTACTTTGCTTACAAGGGAAATCCGAAGCAGGTCTCCCTTGATTTCGTGCTATTTCAGCCCAACTCTGGTATCGTTGATCCAGAGTCCAATCTCCATTACGACAACATGCTTTTCGCTCAGATCGATGCTGTTCACTCTGCTTTAGCTTCCATCGGGTACAAAAACGTCTGCGTACAGATCTCGGAGACGGGATGGCCGTCAAAGGGAGACGCCGACGAGGCCGGAGCTACACCGGAGAATGCTAGGAAATACAACTGTAATCTGATGAAGCTTATTGGTCAGAAGAAGGGTACACCCATGAGGCCTAACTCGGATTTGAATATATACGTATTTGCCTTGTTCAATGAGAACCTCAAGCCTGGTCCTAGTTCGGAGCGAAACTACGGCCTGTTCAAGCCGGACGGATCTCAGGCTTACCCCTTAGGAGTCCCGGCAATCAACGCAGTGAGTACGAATAGCAGCAACTCCGGTGGGTCTGGATCTACACTATCAGCGTCAGTGCCGCCAGCAAGCTCCTCCTCCGGTTATCTAGCCATTACTTCTGATTCGGTGAGCATTTTAGCTTCTTCTTTTTCTCTCTTTTTATTTCCAAGTTCTATAATTACTAAAGGACTTAGATGTATGAAGTTCTGTCTGCTTTCATTTGATACTAATATTCTTGTGCAATTCTCAGGGGACAAGTCTTTCTCCCTGCAAAACCTTGCTTCTCTACTTTGTGAGCTTTGGATTATGGAAGAAACTTGACAACTACTATCACTTGTAATAGACAAGACTCACTCATGTTTGTATTCTTTGATTATTTTTGACGACTCCATTATATTTGCTTTATGGTATTATTATTAGATTAAAAAGACGATACGATAGCTTACCCATTATTCCAATCCGCTCTTATTCACTGGTTTGTTCTAACTTTATGGCTCACTTTCATTCAATTATGTCCATTGTTTTCATCTACAAGAAAATGTCTTAATAAAAACTTCTTCATCAAACTGCTATATGTAATTAGATAAAAAGGTTTGGTCCTTGAGTACAACTTCTTCGCTAAAAAAATGATAAGAACACTACTCTACAAGAGTATAATGCCTCTTACGAATAACTCGGATACCCAAGACTTACAAAATTTCTCTAAAAAAAAAAAAAAGTCTTTCAAGAAACACCAGAGCCTCATCCAATTTCTGTTTTCCTCTTGGTGCCTCTTACTGATAGAGCACCTACTTCTAATTTGCCTAGGATAATATGAGCCCCAACCACGTTAGCTGACTCATGAACTAGCCCCTGCCGGACAGCCAAGAATTCAGACTTTATCAAGAGGGGATAAGAGCAACCAGTCGAGCATCTTCAAGAGCTTCTATGGCACTGAAAGGACCCTCCCACAACTCCATTTTGTTGAGCTTTAACTCTTCGATAGAACAACACATAGGCAGCTGATGTTTTGATATCCGATTCAGCGACAGGTGAAACATGGGAATCATCAAAATGATACCATCTGTCGTCATCAATCAACTGCCAATTAAAAGAACCCATCAGTATACAATGAACCTACAGTCAACCAAGACCATCGGAGCCCCTTGGCAGAGATTGAGTTCAATATTCTCACTATATATATTAACAGCTCCTGATTTATTGCTATCTCAAGAAGAATATATTCTAGGTAGCAATTACGATATTCAACAAAAGAACAAGACAAAATAAAAAGTACCTTGCAGTAAGCTGTGTAATGCCCACCACCTAGTCCACCATAATGGTTGCTTATTGCATATAGCTCATACACATGGGAGCTCTCAGATAAATCCGTACTTTTCACATACTTGCTTAAATCCAGATTATGTATGGGAAAATTCACAAACGTATCAAGCTTGTTCTTCAGCCATCGGCTATAAGAGAACCGCTTTAAGTGGAAAACAAGTATGTCCGGTAATCTCCATAAATCTAACTTCTTGGAGGCTTGTCTATGCTCCTTGCAGCGAGGACAGTACCTGAATTAAAATCATAAACATACACTTAAATCCACATCAAGTGGACGACACTTATAGAAAACATCTCATAACATACCACATATCATCTGGTCCTAAAGGTTCCTCCTTTAGGAAGGCCTCCAAACACGAAAATAAGGATATAGCTTCTTGCTTGGTTTTCTTCACTGTAAGTCCACTTTTGTGAACCTCTGGAAGGTCTTTGAGGTAGCTTGCATCATATAGCTCATATTCCTTCTCAGTCCAATCCAATATAACCTTTTGCATTCTAACTGGTTCTATCACTGTATCTTTTGTAACGGGCCTGCAGTTAGTACCCCGTTCATCAGTTAAACAAAGATGAAATGTCAGCTCCATGCTGGAATTTCCCACTGGATCTATGCACTCCGTTGATTGACCTTCACGACCAAATTGGATAGTACAGCTGTTCATTGGTACTTCAATTGTTTCCGAGGGAGAACCATTTTCGGCACCATCCTTAAGACCAGGTGCCGATGAGATAAATGCTTTCCTTCTTAATGGAGCAAGTACCTTATGGACAGCAAAATCAATATCAGCTCCGTTATGTGGGTCTTCCAAGAAAGTAACAAGCGGTGTCAAGAACAACTTCCTCTCACTGGCCTTCGAACTGTCTATGATACACCTGGAGAAAATGCATGAAGGTCAACGGCAGGTGAAGAATAAGCTATAACAAGTATAGTCAAGACACCAGTCCTGAATAGTTACTTTTCTTGATGAGTGATACGTAGTATTATTACTAGTAAAAAAGTCAACTAAGAAATTCAGAATTAACCTCATTCTTTGTCAGTTATTAACCTCAATAACGAATTTATACTATTGAATGTAAACACACACACACCAAATTGAGAGTAATCACAAATTCACAAGTCCACACTTTCACTCAAGTTGCAAAAAGCAATACCAGGAGAAGACTAGTAAATTATCAAATGCATGAAAAATCGATCATGACGAATGGGACAGCTGGTGGGCAAAAAATAACAGAATTTTTAATTTTAAGAGCTTATAAATTAGCACAAGATTCAAGAAATTTTTTAAAAATTAAGTACCAATATAATCCAAGGATTTAAACTTACTTTTCCAGGTACCTGTGACTAATCTCCAGTCTTGTCAGTTGTGCCACCCTTTTCGGGAGCCTGTACGCAACAATATGTTCATCATCCTTAACTGAATTCAAAATCTCTGTAGGGTTCTCAAAGTATCGAAATACCCGATGATCATAGACCTGTTCAGGAGACTTATTATGAAACAAACAGTAGCACAGTTCGAACAAACCAACACAAAATATTTACATGTGTGCAGATATACGATTCTGGTACAAACATTTGCAGAGGCATGCACATGTCCGGTACCCATACATAATGTGAACAAATAGCAAAAAAACCATTACCTCTGCAAGTAGCAGGTATTCATCAATCCTTAAGCAGCATGCAATTTCTAAAGCCTGTGCAAGATCTTTAATATAACCATGTTTCAAGACGGTAACAGTAAATGGCATTGGAAGGCCACTGCCATCACTATAAAACACTGTTACTGTCATTGTCTTTGTGGCTGTTGAAGGAAGTGGTAGAGACAAATACATGAAGGGATCAAATGTTATTGAGATTTTGTTGCAGTCAGGGCAAACCAGCGTAGACTTATATTGGCCCTGAAATAAATAGCTTCAGTATGAGTGAACTTGATGGCCATATGCACTAACTAGAAAACAAACATCAATTTCAGATACTTTATATGCCAACAGAGTTCTATCCAAACATTACTGAAAGTGAAATAGCCTTTGTCACCAGAAAGAAAAAAAAAAGTGATTATCAGTCTCCAGTAAGTGGCACTGTCGAACTCAAGCTGGCAGAGGGAAGAGAAAAAGAAAAAAATAATAACAATTCCCAGGACTAAAAATATAAAACCACTTGCATAAAGGTCAATATAGAAAGAAAATGACAAAAAGCTAAGAACCTGGCAAATATCAACTATAACGGAGTCATTTCTGACTCTGTGGTATCTCCAAAGCTCGTTAGCAACTTCTTCATCTGGACGACCGTCTGAGTCCTTTGTCTCAAAATACGGCTTTTGCTTGACGCGATTTAAATCTTCATGTAATCCATCCAAGAGGAAGGCGAGTAGTTCCTAGAAAAAGAAGCATATCACTTATTGAAAATCTAGCAGCATTTTAAGAGAAATGTGTTTCGGAACATAGAGGCAAAGGAAACATCTGAACTTAAGGCCTGCTGCCTATAGTGGGAAAAACTACCAGCAATATTCTAGCAACGAAAAACAACAGGCTCTACTAGTAGTGGCTAATACATGGTACATTTATCATCAGATGATACAGAAGCATTCCTAAAGACGAAAATTAGCATTGAGCAAACCCTGTGGCAAATATGACAATCTCAGCCAAGACGAGCCAAACCAACCTGAGAGTCATGCTGGTTATATCCACTAAACTGGGGAGCAAATCGACCAAGTTTTCCCTTGAATGCACGAGGTGCCACAGGTGTTCGGCCAGAGGACCACAGTTTCCTCAACAGTTCACCAAATGCAAGTGCAAGCTCACCCTGTAAAACTACAACATATATTAGAAACTTAACTATAGATCTCTTCCACACGAAAAGTTCACAACATAGACAAATGAAGCAACATTACATGCATCCCCAAAGGATTCTGTCTGTTAATCTCGTCAGTGTAATCTTGCAAGAAGTATTCGACAAGCGGAGGTGTATGAACCAGACACTGAAGGGCACTATTCATGAAGCATGTGTTGCCCAGATTGGATAATCCTGCCAACCCTCCCCTTTCGCCTTTACTTGCAGGCCTCAGACTATCATATCCATCCTCCATGTCACCATAACTGGAGTTCAAAGAACTCCCTTGATATGCATTGGAACTATATCCAGTAGAGAAACCATTGGACAATGTTGGACCACCAGCAATTGTGACAGATGATCTCAGAGGTTCAACTGGAACCAATGCCAAGTCGTTTCCGGTTGAATCGAAGCCAAAACCAGAAGGCAGTGACCCTTCAGGTTGCACCTCCAGGAGAATCTGGCAGGAGATCATTCCATCAGTAAAGATTTACTAGAAAGCATGTATTCACTTATTCTGAGATTATTTTTTCTTGTTCCACAAACCAAGCATTGTATTACTTGTGCCAGATTTTATGCTCAGATTATTTTAGTTAATGTGGTAAACCAAACGGCCCCTCTTACTAATGCATATCACTATCAGCTGGTATTTCTCATTTTCCATAGGACACTAGTAATGTACAGAGGACATATTGTATGAGAAACTCACATCTTGATCCATCTGCAAGTTGGAGTCCTCCAGTGTTTGGTTTGAAGCAACTAACTTTGTATGCTTCTTTTTATCAAAATAATCCCAGATGTGTGCCTGTACAATCCAAGAAATGATAAGAAGGGTAAAGATTTTGTCTCATTTTAAGAAAACTTTGCTTGGTGACATGAAATAGAACTAGATAATGTCCTAATTTTAAAAAGAAACAAACCTTCTCTGGCGCAATTTCTTTGAGTTTACACACTATGGTATAGAGTTCATGTAAAGATGCCTGAAACATATCACACCATTTTAAAGTTGCTAAATAACTGGGGAAAAAAAACATATTTAAACAACAGAACAAAACACCAAAAAAGCGATCAGATGATACAGCTGGTACGGTCACATTGATCTACCGCCACATAGCTAACGGTTCCACCCATTTATTAAGTTATAGAGGGTGCAGAAGTACATAAGAAGACCACCATGATTCAAATAGTAAGTTCATGTATTGCTCCAATAGAATATCAGACATCATTCTCTATGCCCCACCCCACCATCCCTAAAAAAACATGTTTTCGAATTGATAATGACAAGATGACTGAGATTGTTACAGCAAAAGCAATCATCAGATTGTGCGTTTACTAATGTCATTCTTAAACAGCCAATAGATGGCCAAATGAATGGAGAAGCAGGTGTACACTATTTATAATTCGAGATAAGAAGTGAAAGATGATGCAACAAGAGTGCACCTTGAGTCCCTGACAATAAGTGATCTTTTATTCTGAAGGGGCAAAAAATGACTCTGTATCTTCTTATATAAATTAGTGAGACCAAATAGAGAGGCAAGACCATAAATACCTTTTTACTTAACCATAAGGCTTTGTGGCTTTTATCTCTAGTATCAAATAAATTGAGACATAACGGGAACACCTCCACACTAAGTTGCTTGGCATCTCCCACAGATATCATTTTCCGAGGTAATGCTGGTCCTCCTTTATACCTAAAGGCAGTGTGATTACCGCAAAAAAAAAATTAGAAATGGAAAGCATGTGAAAAACCCTTGTACTTCACTCACAATTTTAGCAGATCACTAGCATGTATGCTAGTACCTGGGAAAAGAATAGCATGTGAATCCCAGGGAAGAGTAAATGTTTTGTACAATCAGCTCTAAAAAGGTTTTTTGAGACCCTAACTAACATAGACACAGTTAATTGTCATAAGGGGAACTACTGCTCCAATCCAGCTCTCCTTCCACTGAAAATGAAAAAAATACTCCCTCCATTTTAGTTTAAGAGTCTTAGTTTGACTAGGCATGGAATTTAAGAAAAGGAGATTTTTTAATCATGTGGTGTATAATGACCAAAATAGCCTATGAATCTTATGGTAAAAAAAACAAGTCATGTAGAAGGTTGGAATTGAAGACCAAATATAGAAAGAGACATTCATTTTGAAATCGGACAAAAAAAGAAAAGTAAGATATTTCAATTGAAACAAAGGGGGCATTAAGTAACAGCATAGTACTTCTAATCATGACAGTCGACCATAACCATCCACAGACAACTCTTTCTGAACAGTGAAGTTCACAAAAGAAAACCATAGGGAATTTTGCATAGCTGTTGTTCGACAAAAAGTGCCTTAAAAAATTGAGTATCTTCTATTCATGAAAAAACAATGGGAGTATTTCCTAGACACCATAAACGGTGTTGCCAAGTTAAGCTCCACTGCACTGTCTGATAAAGGAAGATGAATGAGAAATAAGCAAGAAAAACTTACCACTCAGAGAGCTTCTCCCATACTTCTTGTGGGACCAACACATAATCACGCCCTTCTTCCAAAGTTCTGAGAAGCTGTGGATCATCATCTCCACTGTCAGCTTCTCTAATTATTATATCGCTATTATCAACTGGTCCAGGTCTATTAGCTGAATTTGGCAAAAGAGAAGGCAGAGATTCGGTAGCAAGCTCGTTAAATGGATAAGCACCAAGAAGCTTCCTAATGTACCTCTGCCAATCCATGAACCACCTAAACATACAGACAAAACTAAATGAGTATGAATTTTCATGTTTATTCCCTTTATGACATGTTCTAAATTTTTTCTTTTAGCAATTGGCAAAACGCTTAACTACCTAAACACCATAAGGTCAGACCAGAAAAAAAGAAGAAATAATACAACAGTTACGATGTCAGCAGAGTAGTCACCAAATCAATTTCTTATCTGGAACTGGTTGAAGTGTCCATCGGTAACCATATTATGGAGCACCAATCTTTAAGGTAAAATGAAATTGCAAAATGGCCATCGCAACAGAAGGGAGGATCTGAATAGCTGAAGCGTCTTATGACTTCGATAAGAAGAAACCACCTAGCATTATTTGCCTCTAGTACGATTATAGTCCTGGTCTCTACAAATATTAAGGTAATGTTTCACAGATCCAATGAATCATAGTCAATGTAGTGCTTCAGCTCTCAAATTTTCTCTACCAGTATAGCACATTAAGGTGCACATTGATGATTTTACTTGGTACATAATTATTATTTTTGAGAAAGAGCTTGGTACATAATTATCAACTCTGTATGCTTATGCTTAGTGCTTAATCATGTTGTAGATTCTGCCAAGAGGAAGAACAAAGAGAGTCATTTCTCAAGTAGCTTCCTTTTCTTTCATATAATATAGGTGAGAAAACAGCACTTACAATATCCTGCTGGGAAACTTGAGCCATTTTTAATGTTTCAAAACTAAAACTCATGGACTAGAATGAGTCCTATCATAACCCAATTACTTCCGAAACAGTTCATATCAGGTTAAGCTTTTTAAATTAATATTCTAATACCTTGTTATTATTAATGAAATATTTTACCTGATAAAAAGAAATACCTTCTTGTGATAGTTATTGAAAACTAGCACATTAACTCATTTACTACAAACATAACATGGTGGCAGAAGCCCTACTTATTTAGCTGATAGATGTGATTGAGCAGCAAAAGAAATTAGTCCCCAAGGCATTGGTCTAATGGTAAGACAACAGCGCCTATGGGAATTTGTAGGTAATCAAAAATAAAAACAAGAAAGAAACACAAAGTGGCGCGGGCGGTGCAATGCTTGTTAGAATAGAACATCAAAAGAAAAAGTATAGTAGTATAAGGACCTGTTAGAAATAACATAATAGAGATTGCCTTGTTTCAAATTGGACTCAGCTTTGCTGATAAGCTCTTGAATGATCCTTGCCTCTTCTTCAGGGGTGCACGGCAATTCAATAGATCCATTTTCCATCATGTAGGTCGAATCCGGAATCTTCATGATCCACTCAATACTAGTAAACAATAAGAAGAGAGATTCCAGTTCAAAATTGAATTTACAAAAGAAACGAAACAGGAGTATGAGAAAAGGAATAGACGAACCCTAGTAGATCCAAAAGCGATAGAGAAAAGGGGAAGTTATGAACCCTAGATTACAGGAGAAACCCAAATTCCCCGATTCGAGTTTTGATCTGCACAAATACACGAAGCGTCTCTCTCTCTCTTTTGAGTTTTCAATTTTCATCCACCAACCTTTTATATATGATATGCCCAATCACGAGACCCTCTACTTTCTGGTTGAATATAAAATATTTTTTATTTATGTTTTTGAGTTTTGTATTCTCTCTTTCTTTTTCTTTTTTTGGTTAAATTTATTGTAGCAATTATATTAGAAAGAAAAGGGCCTAAAAGGTATTCTACATTACAATTCCCATAATAGTTTACAAAATTGGGGTAATTAGGATTGTTCATGGTTATGGTTAAAAATTCAAATCGAATCGTAATCCAAACCAAATCGATTGAAAAATTAATATTTGGTTTGGTTTGGTTTTAAATTTTGAAAATCGATGTATTTGATTTGGTTTTGGTTTTACTAAAAAACAACTGCAAAAATAATCAAACCAAACTGATAAATTAGATATAAATTTTAATTAACTTAAGTCTAACTTTACACTTTTTATCAAGTTGCATACTTAAATTTCAACTTAACTATTACAATCATAAGTCCAAGTCCATCAAATTCATTACTTTAGTCTTTACCTATCATACCTCACATATATAAGATGGTCACATTTTCTCTTACTTGAATCACTTTGTTCGTGTAATAATAACTCTAGTATTGCGTAATTGTTTAATTGAACCGAGAATAGTTTTCCTATGAATTGTTCATGTACTAAGTGTTTGTGTGTATCGAGATATGTATGTCCTCAAAAAATTTATTACTTTCAAACCGAAAAAACCAAAAAAATTGAACCAAACTGACGGTTTGTTTTTTTTTTTGGTTTGGTTTGGTTTTAGAAACTTAAAAAAACAATTAGGTTGGTTTGATTTTGATTTTAACCAATAACTAAACCACAAACACTCCAATGGTAATTATTCAGCCTCTCTTGATGAAAGTAATTATTTTTGGGCAACTTTTTTTTTAAAAAAAAAAAACAATTGAATGATGGTGGTTAAAATTCAGCTTCTGCTAACAGATGTGTCTGTGCATGTAGTAATTATTTTGGGAGGTTAAAAACGTTGAATAATGTATTTGTGCATGTAATGTTTTTCGAGAATATAAAGCAGACCAACACCAAAAACTAAAGTTACAAGAACCTACTCATATCGAAATGACAACCGAATAGTATCAAATAGAGAGCACTTTGCGTAAGTTGTTCACTCTTCCTAAACCCAAATACTGATGAAGAAAGCACTCAACGCATCTTTATAAAAGCATACCACAAATGTGCACTTGGAACACAAAATCATTCAGAATTTTACTTTGAATAACCCACTTTCCTAGTCAAGTTATAATTCAAAGAAACAGGCCAACTGAAAACAGTCTTTGATGTTATACTGTAAACTTCTGTGCTCTAGATACTACTTCTTCCAGAGGGGGACTTACAAATGTACCAACCAGGCTCAATACCATGAAACCAACATAGGGGATCTGCAGTTGGGCATCTAAACTAGTTACAGTAGCTTACAGATTCCAAACAGTACTTTCATCTACAATTCAGTCATGAATCCCGTTAACAAAATCATACAGTATCAACAAGCAGTTGATATGCAAGGACACATATATACAAACATGCCAATAGGATCGGCACATGACATGGCCAAAGCTACCAGTTAATGGCACATCCTATAAACAATGACTTTACTCTAGTGCCATAACCTCATGTATGCAAGAATCTGTAGAGGCACCACTGAACAAGATCTGTGAATCAGTTTTCTAGTGATAGATGCCAAGTATTAAACACCCCTACCAACAAAAAAACACCTAACACAAATTATGGCATGGTAGCTCTCTCATCAGAGCTAGCAGAGGCCTCATTTCCAGCAGGAGAAGTTTCACCACCTTGTACCTCATCTTCGCTGAACATGCTGTCTCTGCCAGATTCAGAGGATGAGCCAATCTCCTCATCACTGAAAACCTCAGCCCTATGCCGCCTCCTCACATCCTTTATGCCTCTTCCTTGAAGAGCCAATCGCCTGCGCTTTCTTGCCTTCCTCTTGCCTTTGGGAAACTCTTCCTGTTTTGATTCAAAAGTCTTGTTCCTGACATCTTTTGCAGCTCTATCCATGCAATCTTCATTATCCTCCGATTCAGTAAATTGGGAATCAACATCAAGCTTGCGTCTCTTCCTATTTGTACTCGTCTGATAAAGAAAATAAATTAAAAGGATATAAGCCAAATATGAATCCAAATGATGAATTGAATATACACATCACTCATTAACGAGCATTAATCAACATAGTTCCTTTTCTGCTGTAATGTAAACTTCATGGATGGTTTTTCTTCCTTATTTGGGTAGCCGGGCAGGAATACAAGGAGATCTGCTTGCTAAGACAACAAACTTCAATCTTCACTATTTTGGAAAGAAATCGAGGTGAACCATAAATCAGCCGGAGCCCTTCCAAACTAGTTATTTTCACAATATTTTTTTAAGTATCCTTCGCAATGACCTCACTCTAGAACAAGAAACACTGCCTAACATTGAACCTTGCCTCCCTCAAAGTTAAATATGGCCACAGTAATAAAAAAATTATAAAAAATCATCAGCTTAACCATTGATGCAACAAGTTTCTTCAATTGCAATAGCTATCCATATTTACTGCAAGAATTTGTCAAAGATAAAAAGGAAACTTGGACAGTTGCCTATTTCCTTCACAGACTCAGGGAACCAGACATTCCCAGTTCCCCACTTGGGCTGCATACCAGTAGAAACCCTTCTTTTAATAAGTAATATTGGGAGAAATTATCTATGGTCGCGGAACATATAAAGAGGCTTAATACAAAGACGGATCATAATTGGTCTCAATTGTTATTTGTAACATATAATTATGATATAGGAAATGTAAATGCAGCCCTCAATTTCACATGATCTTATGCAATTTAGCTGATCCCAAGCCCGGATAAAAAGGAGGGTGGTTTACACTGACATCTAGCATAAAATGAACTATCGTTATGCATCTTTAAGAGCTGAATGGGTACAAAGAATTTAGATAGCATTAGCTTACTGAATATGAAGCTTAAATAATTAAATAAATGCTTAAAAAGCAAGTTACCAAGTTCAAAAAAATAAAAAATAAATGCTTAAAAAGCAAAAGAAAGTAATTTAGACTCGTTAGACACTTTTCAGACTCCAACTAGTGCCTAATTCTTAAAGATAACCTTGGGACCCCGATCAACCAGGCGGGACCATTCACTTCGGTTCCGCAAGCAATCAAGGACAGCCTGAGAGTGACTTGCATATGCATAACGTTCTCCATTGTGCTTCCTCAAGTTCGGCCAGTGCTATAGAAGAATCAGGAAGATAACAGACAAATTAATTTTTTTGTTAACACCAGAAAGAGAACACATCTTATCTCATTAAAGCATCTGTTACCGGAAGAACTGCATTGCAGAGCTCTTCATAAGTCATTCTTTGACCTTTGCTCATAATCTCAGCAATCAAGCCTACAAATGCAGAAAAAAGGTAGCAACGTAACATTAAGAAGATCCAAAATAAAAGGAATATTCTTTTTTATAGAGCATCTAACATATATAACTCTTGTTAAGGCAAAAACCTGGTAATGTCTGATGTGAAGGATAGTCAACCACTTTTGCATCATCAGCAGCAGCAGCTGCACTTGGTGAATTGTGCATTGAGGAAAGGTTATGCTCATTTACCTCATTTGGGGAACATAAACTACTACTTGCAGAAGTATTGGACGCAAGTGTGTGACTCTTCTTCAGAGACTGCACACTTTTTGCTGATCCAGCGTCTCCTTCTCTCTTAATAATAGAATCTTCTTCTCTTCTACAACCAAGGGAAGTTGATCTTTCAGATTTCTTAGTTTCCTGAACCACCTCCTGAGAACAGTTTGCACCATCTTTGCCTATGTCCTTTGACTTTCTCCTAGATGTCTATGGCAAAATATAAACACGTCAGAATAAAGTCAAAATAGGCATATAATCGCCTATTATGTAAAAACATCATAAAGCTTACCAAACCATGATCTTTTCCTCCACCGCTAGATGTTCGCTTCATTAGCATACTTGTAGATGTTGGAGAGGTTAACTGAGGTAAGCTACCAGCATGACGCATCCGTGGCACTCGAGGAACTCTAGGAGAACTATTAAGTTCTTGATGAAGCAGTAGAGCAAGCTACATAAAAATGACAAGCGTAAGCTAAGAGGGAAATATTAAACTTTAAACATTCATTAATTCAACTTCTACCTCTTCATCACTTAGTGCTGCAGGAGATGATGAAGATGGAGGATGCATCAGGTGTGTATTCACTTTAGAAGATGGCTGGCAACTTGGCTGGTTTGTCTTCTCGCATTTTTGTGTCAAATGTGTACCTGCAGCTTTATTCTGAATGTGTGCCAGACTCTCACTTTGCAGTGAGCTAGAAGACTCTGCAGAGCGTGCACTAGCAGGGTTACTACGCACAGTTGATGTTTTAGCAGAAGAATTGGGGACTGAATCCTTTGCTTCTGATACTGTTTTCTTCAGTGGAGCATGAGAGAGCTTGGTCGACTGCAATGTCTTTGATGCTGAACCAACTGATGACTTTGGGAGCTCTTTCAACATTTTCTTTGGTCTTTCACGCCTCTCTTCATCCCTACCAGCATCCATTGACGAACTCTCTCTTTTATTACTCAGATTGCTCCCAGATATTCCCCTCAGTTTACCATTAGAATCATGATTATGAGCTTTCGAGAATATTCGACTCTCCGGAGCAGAAGACTTTGTTGTACCTGAAGATGATTTTCCCATGGATAGAACTACTTTACGGTGATTTGGAGCTGATAACGAAGTCGCGACTGCTAAGCTTGATCTAGGTGCCTCTTCAGCAGGTTTTGAACTTTGTTTGTGTCCTGAACTCTTTCTTGCTCCTACTGTAACTTCAGAGATCTTCGGTTCTTGATTAGATTGACAGAGTGCACTGGGTGATTCATCAGTATTAGCTGTATTATTACCACCAATCATTGCCTTTCTACTGCCTTCCTCTAATTTACAGTCACTATTTTCCGAATTGACTATAGTGATAACATTTACTCCA